GAAGGAAGCTCTGGCAGATCCTATCAAGTTAGAAAGGCCTTAAGTTTCATGAACCCTGGATTGGATTTTGTCTCTTTTCCAAAGTTAGGAGACCATAGGTTCACAGACAAGAGGAAGAGACTTTAGAAGTCATCTAATCCAACTCCTTTACAAATGAGGAACTTGAACCTTAGGTGAAGTAATTTGCTCAAAGTCACAGAAGTAATAAGTGGCAGACCTGTTTTGAACCTCAGATCCAGACTCTGAATCCAGCATTTTTTCCAATATATATAGTTGTTAAGCCTACCTAAGTTTGGAGAGATTCCTTTTGTAGGGGGTGAGGTGGTAATGGACTTATAACTCTCAAAGACCATAACAAGTAATTTTTTAGGGCGTAGTTGGGGGAAAGGGGAGTATGTGAAGCACATCAATGGAAGGAATATTCATACCAGTGAAATCACAGGTGCTTAAAATATTTAAGGGAAGTATAACTGATGCAGTAAGAGGAAATTAAGCAGCCCTGACTGTATTTTTTTTAAATAGATTTTGCCATGGTTTAGTTTCGGTTTGCTACTAAAAAAAAAAAAAGAGAGATAAAATTGAGATTCAACTATTACCACAAAGCTGATAAACATAGTTCTATCTAAAAAGAGCTCCAGTACCTTCTAAGAGTTTGACTACATGGAATTAAACAAAAAAATCAGCTGCATTATAGAATTTACTCTATTTAACACAATTTTATAGTTTCTATGAGGTTCTTTTTTTTAAAGTTTGTGATGGATCTTTAAGATGATCAAAGGGTTTACTGAATTCAATTACTTCAAAGCAAAACAGCTATCAAACATGGCACATTGAAAATACCATTGGACACAGTCAGGAATTTGAAGTTTTAACTCTATCTCTGACATTAACCAACTCCAAACAAGTTACTTAATTACATTTTGCCTCAGTTTCCTGATATGTAAAGGTGTCTCCTAGCTTTAAAGGGCCAAGAATCTAGTAAAAGCTATACTTGTCATTGGCTCTTCTGAGAGCCTATAAACATTAGCCAACTAAGAAAAAAAAATTTATGTAGGGGAAATACAGGTAGACAAATTCATCTGAGAAACTATAAGTCTCTGGGACAAAAAAATCTTGTCAGTTTTCAAAGACTGATCAATTAGACTACTGAGAGTGACATCAATACCATGTCCAATAATCAATTATGACTAGTCCCTGAATTGCTCCTTGCTATTTTCTTCTACCCTTCACACACACACACTCTCTCATATATATATCTCTCTAAAATTAACAGCTGAAAGTGCTTCATACATATTATCTAGTTTAATATTCACAATAACCATGTGAGGTAGATAACACAAGCACGACCATCCCCATTTTCAGGAGACGAAAACTGGAAGCTAGGAGAGGTTTTGCCTTGCCCCATGATGACAAAACTAAATGTCAGAGGCCTGAGTACTAAATCCATATTTCCTGTTTCTAAATTCAGGACTATAACCCAGAAATTTGCTTCTTCTCTTCATATTTAAAACTTCTGACTGTACAAAATTCAACTCATATTTCAATTATAATCATTTCCTCTCCATACATTTATTGAGCTAAATTGACAGTACTTAAAGGCAGTGTCTGCTTTATATTCTTTTTATATTCAGAACCTGAAATTTTAGCTATGAGTATTTCCAGCCCCTAATATGGCTTAGCAACTAATTTGTAATTTATAGTCTGAGGATTACTAGTGCATTGAAAACTTAAATGACTTGCCCATTTGGTTAATTTACGTGACAGGGGAGTCTTGAATCCAAGTCTGCTATCCACTGTGCCATGCTGCCTCTTTTATTTATAGGTACAATATCATTTCCATGTTCAAACTCCTTTTCTGGCTTTTGTAATTCTACATCAAATGGAAGCAATGAAATTTAAGAAAGTTTTAAATAATGTAATGACTTGAGATTCACAATCTCAGAAAACAATGATGAAAGAAAAATCCAAAGGTCACCTAAATTACACGCCATTACCAAAAATCATCTAGTTTTTTTTTCTTTTAAACTTTAGGCATACCTTCCCAAAATGAACTAGTTTTTATCAAATGGTGCTCTACATTCCCAGTTTATGTGGAGAGTGAGGAATAGTGGCCGTGATGCACTCTACACAGCAAACCTAGTTTTTACATGTCAATTTTTCAGCATGAAAAAGGTTTCATTATTTCTTTTGCTCCAAAATTCTTTCTTGCTGAGTAATTACAGGTTTGGATAATTTATTTCAAGCACCAAAGTAGCCAAAATTAGTTTGAGAAAGGTTGCTATAAAGGTTTAACTTTTTTGTGTATGAAATGGATCATTATCCCTCTGGTAGTCTAGAAGAACCAATAGAATCTTCAGGATAACATGCAAAAAATAAAACAAACAAGATTAGAAAGAAAACCAATTATGTTGAAATAGTTATCAGAATGTTGAAAAAATAACCAAATTCATGGACTCCAAGTATTAAGAATAGTTACTGACTATATCAGGCATTGTGGTGGAGATAATAAGATTTGCTTTCAAGAAATATAGTCTAGTCGGGAATGAGGCTAATAAACAAGAAAAACTGAAAGTAGATGCCATTACATTAGGAAGTCCTATTGGAATTAAAGGAAAGAGTACCTCAAGGGGGGGTAGGGGGGCCTGCAGGAGTAGTCAAATAAAGCTGAATAAAAGATGAACTAGAAGTTGGGCCTGAAGGATGTCTAAGATTTAGATAAATGAGGGTGGAAGAAAAAGATTATTTTAGGCTGGAGACCATGAGGCAATGAAATGATAATTATAACCTTACAAGAGACAAAAGGAGACTCTAGGGGGTCCTTGTTAGGTAACAATGAGATAAGATTGGATAGGTTGGGGGAGAGGAAAATAATAGAAGTCTTGAACATTTAATTTTTTTTTTAAATGCTGGAGAATGACAATATTAAAGTTTTTTTTCATGGAGATTACTCTGGTAGCAATTGTTAGAGGTAAGAGACTGGAGCCAAGGAACCCAGGTAGTCCAACAGGTCTACAGGTAGTTATAAAAGTCCAAGAATTAAAGTGAAAAGGGCATTGTGGCGGTGGGATTTATAAATAAGGACATAGCCATGGTAAGAGATTTGATGAAGAAAAGAGAGGAAAGTCAAGATTTTTAGTCTAAGACACTTGAAAAATGATGGTACCTCTGTCAATAACGAATTAATACTCAAAGAGAAGTGAGGCAAGGCATCAAAACTTTAAAAAGGGTACCAGAGATAGATGTAGACTTAGGAGTCCTCAGTACAACTCAAACAGTTGAAACTATATGATTGGATGAGCTCTCTTGGGAAATGTATAAAGAGGGAAGCAAAGGGTAGAAAACAGAGCCTTAAGGGAAATCAACTGTCAGAGAAGAGAGAGCAGAGAAAGTTCCACAGATGTAGTAGGAGGGTAATTAGCAAAAGTGCAGTAGCAAGAAGCCAAGGGAGATCCCATTACCTGCAATAGAAAGGATAAGAGGAAGGGAAAGGGAATAAAGATGTATGTAGGGCCTATTATGTGCCAGACATTTTATAATTGTTATCTCATCTGATCCTCAACAACAACCCTGGGAGGTGGGTACTATTATTATTTTATAGTTGAAGAAACTTAGGCAAATGGAGGTTAAGTGATTTGCTCAGGGTCACACAAGCTATTAAGTGTCTGAGGCCATATTTGAATTCAGATCTTCCAGACTCTAAGCCAAGCACTGAGCCACCTACCTGCTTCTTGCTGAAAAGCAAACAGAGGCCTCGACTGATTTGCTCTTACAGGTAGCAAAGACTGGATATAAACCCAGCCAGGCCTTTTGACTACAAATCCAGAGTTCATTCTATTACACCACATTGTCTGTATTTTCAAAAAAAGAAGGTAGTCTCCTACCCCATCTCTCAAAAAGAATCAAAAATAATAAAGTCAAAGGTGCAAAGGAAGACAGCTAGATTTAGTCAGAGGATCTGGGTTCAAATGCCTGCCCTGTCACTCACTAGTTACCTGGCCTTTTGAAAGCAAGTCACTTAAATTTTCTGAGTTTCAATTTTCTTATCTATAAAATGAGGGTGTTGGTCTAGATGACTACAAATTTCCTTCCAACTGTAAGTTTATAATTCAATAGATGTCAAAAATAGCAAAACAAGAGTTGTGGTGAAAGAAAAGGAATTCTAAAAACCTAAACTTTGTACGTACCATATCCTTGCAAATCTAGGCAATTTTTTGGCTTTCTGACAATGAAATGGGGAGAAGGTAGCTTTTAAATCATGAAAAGCACTAGGCTGAAAAAAGCCACCACCGAATATAACTACAATACCTGAGTATTTGTGTATGACATATGTGGATGTATGTGTAGAGAAGATTTGCCCATAGTTACATCAAGCGAAATAACCATTAATGAAATAAAAAAGCAACAAATCCTGCCACATCCCCGCTTACTTAGAGTACTCTAGAGAGAGGTATGTATTCAAATAGATTTAACAATCCTTTTGAGGAATGTCCCTGGCACAACCAAGGTCTTTATAATCCGCTTTTTAACGAAGGAATGGGGAAATCTGGACGGATGAAGGGAAGGATGAAAATGAAAGGTCAGGTAAAGAATCTACGCAGCAGGCCTACAGTAAAATCAGACCTAAGGGCCTCCACTGGAACGCAGTAAAATCATCTAACCCGTCCTTTCTTTCTCCAATCCCACCCAAGGCAAAAATAGAGCAAAAACTGCCCATGGCGCATTAGGGCCTAGAAGGGAGATGGGTAAAAGAAGGTTTAAATGTAAGAGACATAGATTAAAAAAGGCCACGCCGAACGAGGGCTAGTAGGCCTGTTCTTCTCCCAGTAGACTCGGAGTCGGGGGGTGGGGGAAGATTTCCCCGAGAGAAAAAACCCCCACTCCAACCCCTTCTGGAACGTCGAGGGCGTTCAGGGTCGGGACGAACCCAATAGGGCCTCCGCTCCTTCCCGATGGGCCCCCCGACCACCCTCTAAGCGCCGTCCCCCTTCCTCCGCACTCACCTTTCTCCTCCCGGCTGTCGGCCGCCATTGCCCCTAGGATGCAGCTCCTCCTTCTCCTTCTTCTACAGCTGCCGCCGCCTCAGCACTGTCTGCGCGGCCGCCGCCGCCGCGCGCACCCGTCCGTCCGCCCTCCCGCTTGCCGCCCCGCGAGACCCGGGCCTCCGCCGCCACCTAAGCCCCCAAGCCCGCGGCCGACTTCTCTTTTCGCCCCTGCCTCTCTCCTCACCTCCTCCCGCTTTTTTTTTTTTCCTAAGGACGTCGGCCGCTACCTTCTCCTTGGGGCTCCGGGCCGGGAGGGGGAAAGGGGAGGGGAGAGGAGAGGGAGGGGAAACAGATGGCGGCTGCGGGCGGCGCTAAAATGGAGCCTGGCTTCCTGCGTGAGACAATCCCGCTCCCACAATGCCTAGCGCTGTTTACGCTTCGTTCTCTCGGCCAACGTCACAGTGCGGGGAGGGAACGGAGGAAAGTAGGAGGGGGTGACGTTGCTGCGCAGCCGCCTTTCCACCCCGGCGGCTCCGGAAGAAAGCTTGTGCTCACCTCCTCCAATCCACCTTGACTTGGGCTAGTCTAGTAACTATGGCAGCGTGCGGGGAGGGGCCGCAGAGTGCAGAAATTCAGCTGGGGAAGGACGGGCGAGACCTGGCTCTCCAACCCTTCCTCGGAATTCCTCCCAGGCCTCCCTCAGCTTATCCCCAACTAGGCCTCTGACGTAGGCTGAGGGACGGGCGGCCCAGTCCAGATCTGGCCGCCCAGGGCTCCTCCCCTTCGCGGGCCGGGAGACCGGGGTCGAAGCTAGAGCTTCTCCGAGCCAATCGGCCCAGTCCCTTTTGTTCCCGACTTTGTGCTCTGCCCCCTCTGCGACAGGTCTTGCGCCCCTCCTTTCTGGTCGGAATCCTGAGCCTGGTGCGACTCTGCCAATGGCGCTGGCGCGCAGCAGGGAGTCCGCGACCAGGTCCTCGAGTGCCCTTGGAGTCACCCAGGCTCGCTAGTCTACTCTGGGGCCAATCGGCAGCACGCTTTTATTCTTTAGAAGGTCTGCGGGCAGCCCTATTAGTAACTGAAATTACCTGGCTTTCCTAAAGTTATTTGCTTGTGGTCTGCCCTGTTAGAATTAGAATTCCCTGAGGGCAGGGCCAATTTTTGTCTTCCTTCATATGCCGTTTGCCCAGAGCAGAAGAAATCTCTGTGGCTTCTGCCAACTAGGCCTCGGGTATAGATTGTCTGTGCTTTAAAGCTTACAGACTTGGGCTTAATTAAGCCCCACTTCTGACACTCTTTAACCTGGCAACCTTGGGAAAATCATTTGAGTTCATAGTGCAACTATAAGCATTAAGACTAATTTCCTACTTGTGCAGAGTGTATTTGTTTCCTCCAATGAAATCACAAATCTGGATGAAAATCAAAATACAGCCTTTTGGTAGCACAGAAAAAGTGTAAATTACAGTGTCAACTCTAGATCTATCTTTGTTTCTGGCTAGGGGTGTTGGGAACCCCAAAATGCAAGGGCACAAGGTGGGAGTCTGCCTAGAAAGAATTCAAGCCTTCTTTCAGTCCAAGTAGCTAGTTTATTGAGACTGGGTGAGACTGCACTAGTAGTGATGCCAATGACAACAGGGCCAGATTTTAAGAATCTGCAAATTCATAAGGATCAAATTGGTGCAGTTATGCAAAAAAAAGACTGTGAGAAAATGTGGATGGGATCAAGGAGTGGCAAATAGCTTGAGGTGGTCTGGAGAGTACACCTAAAGGGGCCTGGGTGGGATTAAGGAGTGTTAAGTAAACTAATTAAGTAATCCAAGTGGGCTGGGGTGGGCCTGATGCCTTGGGCAGAGACACCTCTGATCTGGGCTGCTGCAATGAATGGGAAAATTTAGGGACTGGGTTGCTTTCAAAAACATGGTCTTTTCCTTTTAGGGATTCAGATTGAATCTCATTCCCCATCACCTCCACTTTTTTTTCAGAAGAGGAAGGAAAAGTTCAGACTTTCTTAATGCATGTTTATCCAGGTGTTTACTCCTGATTTAGAACAAAACTATCAGGAGGGAACAACTGAGTTCAAGTTGGAAACAACAATGAGGAAATATCAAAGTTATCTGAGTGCTGTGATTTCTGTAATCTAGCATATATGTACATACAGTGATTTAAAGTTTATAAAATGATTTAGAAGTAACCCTGTGAGGTAGTGACAAGGTTATTATACTCGTATTATATAGGAAGGGGCTGACACCAAAAGGGAAAAGGGACTTGCTTTTGTGAGCAAGGCTAACTAGCATTTTTTGTGTTATCTAGAACTAAGTGATAGGTACACTAATAGATAAGACTGGCCTCAGGTCTGGAGGATAAAAGCATTTTCATTCATTCCATTCAGTTACTCAGCAAACTTGACTATATGCTAAGTACTTTGTTAAACTCTAGACATGAAGAAAGGCCAGAACACTGTCCCCACCTAGGAGATCCCATTCTAATGGTCGAAACTACAAGCAAAAAAACTATGCGCATGCAAAATATATACAGAGCAATGGAAGGTAATCTCAGAGGAAAGACTGGTCTCCTGGTGGAGGAGTGTGAAGAGGATACTGAAACCAGCATTGTATGTATTAGGGAGTCCCCAGTTTTCTGGATTACAGTTTGATTTGGAAATTAGAAAATCTTTTCAGAAAGAAACTGTTATAGTAGTTAAGTAATCAGGATTGCTCACAAGAACATATTTAAGCCACACTGTACTAGAAACAGTACTAATAGTATTCCTTCCATCATTTTAAAAATATATGCTATGAGAAAATACTTTGAGTTCCAACTTGGAATGGCAAAAACACATTTCCTGACAGCTTCCAGCATTGGTAGCAGAGACTCTGCTTCTAATCTTATATCCCAAGACTGACATTATGTATTAACACCACGTGCTCTAAGCTGTGGGCAAGTGAATCTCTTGGCGAGAAATGGGACACAGAAAAGTTTCTGACAGAGAAGTTGGAGGTAGGAGATGAGGCCACTAGGAATGCTGGGAAGAAAGCATTTTAGGAGCCAGGGTGAGGGGAGAGAGCAAGTACATGGTGATGTGGGAATATAGAAGAAGGATACTACAGCTCTTCTTTATGTGTCATTTTAGAAATGGGAATTGGGAATTGAGGAAAGGAAGGATTTCAGTTTGGTGGGAATGGAGATTTTCTTCCCCTTTCCACTTCCCCATCTGCTTCCCAAGGTGGTAGTGGTGGTGGTGGGAGCAAAGGGAGAGTAGACAAAGAAAGGACAATGAAAATTTCATTTTCTGGCATGCAAGCTAGGAATGAAGATTGACAGTCTCTGATGTAAATAAAAGTAAGTCCTATTTCTCAGCTGACCACTCACCTTTGGTAGCAGTGATAAGTTACTGTTTTCTTCAGAACTAGGGGTGTGACCTCGAGAGTAAGAAAGAAAAGAAAACTGAAGACCTTACCTGAACAAATGAGTTGATGGGGGCAGGAGTAAAGGCTAAGGAAGAAGAATGTTATTGAATAGGTAGCACAAAAAGGCTGATTTACCTTGGGGGGTGGATTTTTTTTTTAATTTTTGCTTTCATGGTTTAATCTAAGATTGTGAAACTTCAGAGTTATCTCGATTGTATAGTCTAGAAAATTAGCAGTTACCATTTTCTTGTACTATGGACAAATTCTGAGTGAAAATAAGTAGAACTAAAGAAATTTTATTTGTCATTCAGTTGTTTTAATCATGTCTGACTTCATTTGTTTTTGTTATTTTTATGTTTTTTTGGTGAGGCAATTGGGTTAAGTGATCTGCCCAGGGTCACACAGCTAGTAAATGTCAAGTGTCTGAGATAGGATTTGAACTCAGGTAGGTGGTCCTGGCTCCAGGGCCAGTGCTCTATCCACTGCACCACCTAGCTGCCCCATTTGGGGTTTTCTTGGCAAAGATACTGGAGTGGTTTGCCATTTTATTCTCCAGCTCATTTTATAGATAAAGAAACTGAGGCAAAAAGGGTTAAGTGACTTGCCCAGGATTACACAGTAAATGTCTAAGGCAGATTTGAACTGAGGAAGATGAATCTTCCTGACTGCAGACGTGATATTCTATCAACTATGCCACCTAGTTGTCCTTTGCTTGACTATACATATTAAGAGAGTTGCCTTTTTCTTTTTTACAGGGTGATGGCATGGGTGGGAAAGGAAGAGGCAGAGAAAAAAAAATTGCTTGTTAATTAAAAAAAATGAAATTTTGAAAACAATGTATATGTTTAGGGAGTCTTTGATAAACATGTGAGAAGAGAACAGGGCAGATTTTGAAAATGACACATCCATAAGGGAATAGATTGTAATATATGGAATTTCCAGTGAAGAAGCCTCCTCTACCGTCTCTGTAATACATTTACAGGATGGGCTTAGAGAGTTGACAAGGGCCCTGAGAAAGAGATTTTCCTAGGGTCAAAGAGCCAGTGTATGTCAGAATCAGGACTGTAATCCAGATCTTCCTGGCCCTAAGGCTAACTGTCTATACTCTTTGCCACACTATCATAAATACCATTTTGACATCTAGACCCAGATGAACACATGGTGGCCCTTTGGATCAGATTCTTATGAAGGTTGGATAAGGTGCCACATAAAAGTCCTGTCACTTTCCTGCCATTTGTAAGCACTTGTAATCTGTGATCAATAGTTTATCTCCCAGAAAAATAGGATACTTAAAACTGAGTGGTACTCCTGACCCTGTTGATATCCCCTTGGGTCACTCCAAGTCACAAATTCCCTAGCTCATTACTCCCATTTTATAAATGAGGCAACTAAGAATGACCTATTTGAAAGTGTAGCTATGAGGAAGAACTATTAAAAAGATTTATGAAACATTCCACAAACAGAAAACGCTACAGATTTGCTAAATAACAATTAGCCAGTACTCTTCTATGGAATATTCACTGAAATAGATATCATAGTCTTGGATGAGTTTGTCCAGTTTATTTAATAATTACTTAAAACATTTGATGCTTCTTCCATCCCATTTATAATCATGAGGAATACCAGTCACCAAATTCATTAGGTATCAAAATATCATAAGAATAATGACTATAAATGTTTTTTTTCAGAGGCAATGGGGTTAAGTGTCTTGCCCAAGATCA